TGTACTTGCTTTAAAATATAAGCGTCATGACCCCTGCAATAGGTACATAACCCTCTGACAGTAAGTGCAAAACACAGTGTCCCTGATCATCTGCCTTATGATAACACTCACCTGACTTTTAAACAAACTCTTGACTAGAGTTCACTGACAGGTCCGGAGATTGTAATCCGAGTACAGTAATACATGGAAGAAGAGATCAGCCCCAGCAATCTCCAGTCATAAAGAGTAATAGACTTACATAACACATGTCATATATGCACAGAGAGCACTGTAATCCCCTGAAAGGGATTCTTATATAGTGGGGGTTACACACATACACAGTTACATAGTTAGTCAGGTTGAAAAGAGACACAAGTCCATCGAGTCCAACCTCCAGAGTTAACATACCAGACCTATTTTAAAACTCTAATGTAGTCTATACTAAGACAGAAGCAGAAAGTCTCAGCAGAGCTGAGCTAAGATTCCAGACACGATTAGCCGCCCTGAGTCCATACATTGACTCGGGAAGATCGGTGTACCTTGTATGATTGATCCATACAGAAGTCCCTCGCTCGCAGGAACCTCAGCAAGAAATCATCGGACAGTCCCAGGGGCCAGTGACTGCTGTCAGCCTCCGCTCTCTGCCTTATTATTGCAATGGCTTGTGCTACCACCGGACAATGGTCGGGTAGCTTGTTCAGCTCGGGATTTCCTTGTAGAAAGTCAGCCTGATCTTCCGACATGTTCCAGCGAAGGATTGAAAAGTGGACTGCAGACTTTCCTCCGCCTGCTGGGTGTGAGAGTCTGCTGTGTGGGCTGTCTGCTGATAACATGTGTAACACAAGAGACACCTCCTCCTGACATGAACACCAGGACTGTGTGTGATCACTGGGGGCAGCGGGGTCTCTGCTTCTTAGTTAAAGATTAGCATTTCGAATGAAAAAATAGATTTTTTAAACGTTCGTTCAACTTTCTAATTGTTGATGCGGTGAAATCGATGACACATTTTGCCCACAGTGACAAGAAAAATTGAAGGAACATGTTGGAAAAGTTTCTTCGATGGAATTCTAACACTGAATGTGGTTTTCATTCAGAAAACTCCACTCATTCATCGAAATCAAATGTTAAATGAAAATCAAACAAAATGATGATTTAATTCCCATAGGAAGATTTATAAAGCTTCCTATGGGTGGTGATATGATTATAAAGCTTTCTATGGGTGGTGATATGATTATAAAGCTCCCCATGGGTGGTGATATGATTATAAAGCTTCCCATGGGTGGTGATATGGTTATAAAGCTTTCCATGGGTGGTGATATGATTATAAAGCTTCCCATGGGTGGTGATATGGTTATAAAGCTTTCCATGGGTGGTGATATGATTATAAAGCTCCCCATGGGTGGTGATATGATTATAAAGCTCCCCATGGGTGGTGATATGATTATAAAGCTCCCCATGGGTGGTGATATGATTATAAAGCTCCCCATGGGTGGTGATATGATTATAAAGCTCCCCATGGGTGGTGATATGATTATAAAGCTCCCCATGGGTGGTGATATGATTATAAAGCTCCCCATGGGTGGTGATATGATTATAAAGCTCCCCATGGGTGGTGATATGATTATAAAGCTCCCCATGGGTGGTGATATGATTATAAAGCTCCCCATGGGTGGTGATATGATTATAAAGCTCCCCATGGGTGGTGATATGATTATAAAGCTCCCCATGGGTGGTGATATGATTATAAAGCTCCCCATGGGTGGTGATATGATTATAAAGCTCCCCATGGGTGGTGATATGATTATAAAGCTCCCCATGGGTGGTGATATGATTATAAAGCTCCCCATGGGTGGTGATATGATTATAAAGCTCCCCATGGGTGGTGATATGATTATAAAGCTCCCCATGGGTGGTGATATGATTATAAAGCTCCCCATGGGTGGTGATATGATTATAAAGCTCCCCATGGGTGGTGATATGATTATAAAGCTCCCCATGGGTGGTGATATGATTATAAAGCTCCCCATGGGTGGTGATATGATTATAAAGCTCCCCATGGGTGGTGATATGATTATAAAGCTCCCCATGGGTGGTGATATGATTATAAAGCTCCCCATGGGTGGTGATATGATTATAAAGCTCCCCATGGGTGGTGATATGATTATAAAGCTCCCCATGGGTGGTGATATGATTATAAAGCTCCCCATGGGTGGTGATATGATTATAAAGCTCCCCATGGGTGGTGATATGATTATAAAGCTTCCTATGGGTGGTGACAGTGGCGGAACTACCAGGGTCGCAGCGGTCGCCGGCGCCACCGGGCCCTGGCGTTCCGCGACTTGGGGGGGGCCCAGGAAGGAAAAACGGGCCCCGACCGCGGCAGTGGAGTAACAAGCGGGGGGCCCGATGAAGCGGCAAAGGCAGACGGACGAGCGGGAGAGGGTTGCGGCGGTCGCCAGCAGTGAAGCGGGCCGGCAGTGAACACGGCCGCAAGGACCCAGCAGCAGCCGTCCTGATAGTACAGTGAGTACATGTTCCTGGCCGCTGTCCCCCATGGTAGTTTGTGTGTTTGTTTGTTTTTTTACAGCCTGCTTGAGTTTTCTTCAGCTGAGAGGACCGTGACATGTGAGGTAAGTGCATTAGTGCTTTCCATTATAGAACATGGAACAGAACATGGCTGAATTTGGAACTGACCATATTCTATTCCATGTTCTATAATGGCATTGTATTATTAGAAAACTACAAGTCAGCAGTTCAGCAGGGACTTGTAGTTCCCTGTATGATAGAAGGCTGCTTTAATTCATTCCTCATGAAAGTCCTAGTAATACAATGCCATTATAGAGACATAGGATAGAAATAGAATATAGTTGAACATGAAAATTACTGTACTATAATGCCATTGTATTACTAGTATTTTCATGAGGAATTAATTAAACCAGCCTTCTAGTCATACAGGGGACTACAAGTCCCAGCATGCACTCACTGTCCCTGTACACCTCTCACATATCACCCAGTGAACTACTGCAGGGGGCTTGCATGCTGGAACTTGTAGTTACCTGAGTGATTTATATGTAGGGGTGTAGAAGGACAATGAGGGCACGATGGGACTTGTAGGGACAATGAAGGCATGTTGGTTGTAGTTGAACTATAACTCCCAGCATGCCTTCATTGTTATACCCCCAGGGGCCTGGAAAGGAAGAAAAGGGTCCAGCCCTGTAACCGCCGAGGCCCCCGACATTGCCTCCTGGGACTACAGCTCCCAGCAGGCCAGTGCTCCGCCGGGGGGGCCTTCAAAACTTCTTGCACCGGGGCCCTGAGGTTTCTAGTTACGCCTCTGGGTGGTGATATACATATAAAACTTCCTATGGGTAATTATATGATTATAAAGCTTCTTGAGGGTGGTGATATGATTATAAAGATTTCTATGGGTGGTGATATTATAGAGCAGCATGTGGGGGGAAAGTGCAGGCTTACCTGAGCAGTCTTCCAGCAACTTGCTTCTGAGATCGGGCCTGTCTGTCGGTGGCTGTCATCCCCTCACGCCTGCTCCTCCTTACTTCTTCTTCTTCCAGCGTCCCTCCTCATGGATGTGGGCAGGGAGGAGGTGTGGCGTGTGGAGCGTGGATACGGGCTGGCAGGTCTGGCAGTGGCAAGCGTGAGACGGGGAGGAGGTGCGGCGTGTGGAGCGTGGATGCGGGCGTGTCTGGCAGCGGCAAGCGTGAGGCGGGGAGGAGGTGCGGCGTGTGGATGCAGGCGGGTCTAGCAGCAGCAAGCGTGAGGCAGGGAGGAGGTGCAGCATGCGGCGTGTGTGGAGC